GGGGGGGGGGGTGTACTAATGTAACGTGTGTCGTAGTCGTTAGACCTCGCACCCCTACAATGCGGGAACGGAGCGAATGCCGGGTTTTTCGCCGGTCCACGCTACGCTTCACACAAGAATGGGCCAGAAGTTGGCCATCATCCTTGCGTTTTTTTTTTTTCTGTCAAGTTGTTGACGAGGCATTTTCGAACAAGATATTGGGTCAGAGAGGCAGCCACCTCTTCAAATTACGGCCTGCGAGGGGGAGGTCATTACCGGCGGGACATTCGCCTAAGGCGTTATTTGTGGGGCAGAGGCAACCAACCCCCTCTTCCACCGCCAAGACCACAGGACGACACGGGACACCACTTTGAATGCAGGCTGAAACCGTTTTCTAACGCAAAAGACGAGGAAGAATACACCGAGGCGTTTTTTCTTCACACTCCCCTTACCTGGAGAACAGTCCTAGGATCGGTCGACGCCAGCTCTCTCGGGGGGATGTCGAGGCCCAGCTTCGCCGCCATCCGGCCAGCCTTAGCGCTGTTCTTGTCCTGCACGGCCGCGTCGTAGAGCTGCCAGATCGGGTCCAGGATCATGGACACGAACATCGGCGTGTTCTGGCTTGACGGCGTCCACTTGGTCACCTAAATAGAACAACCACGGTATGTAGGAACGAACGTGGGTGCTAAGACACACGATGAGTAGTGCCGGATAAGAACGTGGTCGGACGAATCAGGAAGTAACGCAGCCTGGAACCCCCACGCAACCATGGACGTGTTGTTCGTGTGTCCCGTGACTACGACCGTTTCGCATCTCGTGATCACGCCCGATACAGAGCCCTCGCCTTTTCTGAAAACCAACCCTTCATCCAGGCTTCCCCGCGAGACGATGATACTCTGGAGAATGTGCTCCGGAACATTGAAGGCTGACTGATACCACCACTCCCAAAAACGCGTCCAATATCAACGAAGCGCACAAGACATGAGCGCAACCGGCACTGCCTAGCTCGCAAACACGTACACACAAAAATAACGCCGTCACCGCCACCAGCACACATGCACAGCGCAAAAAAATCACCTTCTTCGTCTTTGCGTTGAGTACGAAACTGCCCCACAGCATCCGCCTGAGCTCCCGCGGCTTGCAGCCCACTCTCTTGGCCCAGAGCCTGGCGAAGTCCCCCAGGCCGAAGCCCCAGCCGTCAAGGGCGGAGCAGAAGACGACGTTGCCGTACTCCGGGCTGAACGTCCATCCTTCCAGATCCTGCAACATCATTCACGCGAGATGTGTTGCTCGCAGATCAGCAGCAACACGGTGTACAGATGCCTGCTACAACTAATGGTTCGTGTTTGTCAAAAAAATGTTTTTTTGAAAGCAAACAAGTGTTTTCTGGAAGCAACCAACTTGCAAACAACACTTTGTGAGAAAGCAAAGAACATTCACGCGAAAAGACGGGGAGTCGAACGAAAGCCCCTTCCACTACATGTAGTTTCTTGGACCCTCAACATGCCACTGCCTTGCACCCAAACCCGCCAGAAGAGAGGAAACACGGTCCGAGAAGAAAAAATAAGCCTGAGTGAGATTGCCGACACAGTGCTTTGAAAACCGCTGTACCTCTTCGGGAGATGGTGCCTCCTGAGCAGCAGCAACTCCGTCCCCGCTCCCCGAGTCCCTCGCCGCAGCTTCGTCTAACTCGGCGCACTCGTCCGCACTGACCTGTCTTTGCGTACGTGTGGTCCCATTTCTTCTGGACGTCAGTCTTACCTATGCACCATTCATAACGACTTTTTACACACTAGCATCACGGTATTTAAGTGCAAAAACACTTGATAGTAGGTGATTTAGATGATAGAATGACGTTCACCAAAGACACAAAATCACGTTAATAAATAGGTACTTTAGACACAAAAATAATCACGTCAACAAAAATCCTTCGACGCTAGAACCACCGCAACAAAAGATTTCATTTTGAGACGCTTGACCCAAAACGAACCCAATAAGAACGTTCAAAGCCGCACCAGCGTCGCGGTGAGAGCGTTCACGTTCTCGACCAGTCGGTGCAGGTGCTGCCAAGCCTCCAACGGCGTCAGCTTCAGCTCGGAAGCCAATCGGTCAACCTACGACGGCCACACAGCGGCGCCGCGGGCGCAAACGCAGCATATGCCGGCAAAAAGGAATGCCCCGAGTGCAAACGTACAACAAAAATGGGAGCAAAAATAGCGGCAGGTTATTACGGCGATGGGCATGACATGACAACGAGATCAATCACGAGGCCCCCCGGGTCGGTGTTAGGGCTACACAAAAATGGGAGAAAAAATAGGGGTATTTTTTTTCGGCGATGGGCATGACATGACAACGAGACCAATCACGAGGCCCCCCGGGTTGGGACTAGGGTATTGAACCCTAACCCTATCGCTGAGCAAATATACGGCAAAGAAAATGCACGTGGATTGGACGGGTGTGCCAGCAATCATTCCAGCATTTCATTCACTCTCGCAAGGCTGACGGTTTGTCATGCTCCCTGCTGTGGTACTGGTCCGCCAACCTTTGACAAAGGTAAAGAAGGAGCATCTGCACTGAGCAACCTGAATGGACCGACTCGCCGACGTCTTTGGGTGTGGATGCAGGGGGGCTTCAGCCCCATAAGCAAGAGGGAAGTGTGAGGTTGCTTTTCATCATGCATCACCAACGCAGACGTTCAACAAGCCCTCGAGTGAGTGCTAGCTGCTACGCAACACATGATAAGACAAGCGCTGTTGAGCGAGTGATAGACTACTACGCCATATTAACACCATCAAGACAGACATTCCAGCAAGGGGCCCTCCACGTAGAAACCGTGGAACACCGCCCCCCCCGGGCCAAGATTGATACGCAGGATAGCCACTGCTGTAGGCGGCTCAAAATTCCCCCTCCCGGGGACACATAAGGCCTCCTCGCCCTTCCGCCCCCCCCCGCGACGAAGATTGACGCGTAAATCAGGGCTGTTCCATGGCTTCCACATGGAGGGCCCCCTAATTCAAGCCCAATATTGTCCAATTCCCTCCCCCCCCGGGGGGCCCGTGAGTCGGCCGCCGGGAGGTGGGGTGGGTCCCGAAACATGAGAGGCGCACACCCACAAGCATCACCTTGTTAAGCACCAGCAGCGGCCGCATCTGCTCCGCCCTCGCTTGCCGAAACACGGCGTGCGTCTGAGCGCAAACACCCTGGTGTAGACAAACGAAACACGGGAGCCGCGGAGCGGGGCGGGGTATGGTATGGTAGCAGTAGCAACACGGGAGTCGCTTCTTTACTAGGAGGGTTGCTTTTGTTGTCCGACTACTCTGCTGAGGTGTTGTCGTTGGTCGGTCGGGTAATTTCGCGCGGCCGACGCTGGCTAAACAGCTAAACACACGCACGGACACAAACACATCTTTTACATTGTTCAACCGGTTAGCGAGGGTCGATGCTATAAAATCAAGAGACACACACAATCGCATAGTAGCCTCCAACGCGACCCAGGGTCTCTAGATCATGGCCAATAAGAAGCATTGAATTTTTGGCCTCATTTGAGACTGACGTATTTTCAGTGATCAGTCGGCAAGCCTCGCGCGCGCTCTCAATACTAGTTCAAGAAACACATACACACACACACACCAGCCTCCTTCACGGCCTATCCTCAGGGGGTCCCCCGATCGTGGCCTCTCGAAGCATTCACAATAATATTGCCTCACTGAGACTCACGTCTTTTCATTGGGCAGTCGGCTGGCTTAGCGCGGTCAATGCTAACATTACTGACACACACACACTTCCTGTGCCCCCGCTTTCGGTGGAACCCTTACCGTTTGACTAGCAACCGTATTTCGTTTTTTGTGTTGGTCCCGCTACAAGATTGGCGCAATTTCATTGGTCAGTCGGGTAGCGCGGTCCCTACTAATTCGAAAACACACACGCCATACGCACACCTCGAGAACGTCGACCACGACGAGCGCGCAGTCGCACAACCGCGTTGCCGTCGAGACGTCCGAGCTGAAGTCGATGTGCCCCGGCGAATCGATGAGATTGATCAGAAAGCTGTTTTCCGCCCCCACGCCCCCGGCAGCAGACGCCGGGGGCTCCGCAGAGGAGTTATCCGGGATGGCCTTGTCGGCGCCGGTCCCTCGAGGACCGGGGGTTGGGCGCGGCTGCTTCGGCTGGGCCTTGTAGAGGAGAGAGATCGCGCTAGAGTGCATGGTTATTCCCCTCTTTTGCTCGTCCTCGCTGCGGGGTGGAAGGGAGAACGGCAACAGGTTACGACATCGCAAACGCGTTGGTCTTGGTGGGCTTTGGGAGACGGATCACTGCTGTATGTCTTGGAATCTGCAGCAAACAGTAACGTCTTGCTCTGGTCCGCATACGACGGCAGCGAGGTAGCCGGCGGCCCCGGTTACAAGGAAGCGAGGAACGAATATAGAAAATGTAAATGGGAGGATTGGAGACAGCCCTGACAAGGGCAATTCTATATTAGGTGAAGGCACGCAAAAAGCTCGCAACAATGAATGCAGCATATTGTCGTATCCACTAGCCTACTACAGGCTACGGGGGTCGATACTTCCAAGCTCACATATCACTGCTGGGCGGTACTTTCCAGCTCATATTTAAAATATACCACCTCTAGACAGTAAATGCACACGGTTTGCCTCCTCGTCTTCCTGACACCCCTAACAGCAAGTAGCAGTACACGGCTCCAGTATTTGATCGTGTCCTCCAAAGACGTTCAGGAAATGCTGCAACACAGGTGTGGTTGTTGGCAGTATTGCTCAGTATTGCTCCATGTTGAGGCAGATGATTTCAACATTGCAAATACTACGTCAACCTTCCAAGGGCTAGGTCGTAGGTTCAACCCCAGCGAAAGTGAGATTTTATTTTCGCTGTTATTTTTCATGAAGTAACTTCAGCCGTGTTACATGCATAGTTCGTCCGCGTAGGTAGTTGTAATCTAGTACAACTGCTGTTGGGGAGTTTATGTGCTTGCCTGCCTCGATACCAGCGTCGGCCGCCCCGGTTGTCTTCTACAAGAAAATAAGCAGTACTTTATGGTCAATCTCTTGTAAGCTATGTGGTATCTATCAAGTTGGTGTTCTAGGCTTTGCTCTCTGGTGAAGTGAAAAATAACCTTGGTACGTTTGCGGCGGGAAGCGACTTTTTCGTGGGTGACCTCCTGTCTGTATTGTAACCACCGCCTGATCGGCGTCCAACGGTGAGGAGTACGACACACCGAAGGGTGTGTAGACTGCCGCCAGAATTAAGGCGTGTGCTGCCTGTTTGACGGGTGTCTTCGCAATGTTGTTCAGTGAGGCGTCGCGCGAAGCGGCAGCAGCGGCAATCGGAGTGGGTGGCGAAATGCCGCAATCTTGTCATTGATCCTTCGGTGAGGGATCCGCGCGCGAAGGAGGGCCTGCGGCGATTCGCCGCGGCAGTGTGTGGTGGGTAAAAGCGAGTAGTATGGCACAGCTGACCTCACCCACTTTTTCGTACTGCTGCGGTCGGCGTGCCCTCAAGGCGGAAGCTATACAACACCGGAGGTAGATTTATCATAAGCTCGACATATCGTGGAGGGCAGTCTTCTCCGATGCCATCCATGTTGTCTTAAAAATAGTGTGGTGGGCAGCGCGAAGCCATCAGTCCTGGTAACGTTCTCGACTGCACGGTGTATAACACCTCCCCCCCATGTCGACTACCCAATAAAAAGTCAGTCAGTCGTGGTTAGCGCCAAGCTAACAGTCCTGGTAACGCTCTCGACCAATGACTGCACGGTGTACAACACATCCCCCCCACATCGACTACCCGATCAAAGGTCGGCGTGGTTGTAGGTAGGTAGGTTGGGGCGAGGTGAATCAGAATTTGAAACCGACTCGACGGGCGCGGAAGTTATTGAGACATTGCTGACGAGCCACATTGTTCACACACTTGCACAGCAGTGTTGCAGCAAGCGTTCTGAGACTTAAAACTCACGTGCTGTCGAGGTAGCGCAGCTTGCCCGCCAGCTTGGAGGAGATGATCCCGTTCGAGCAAACAAGGCCATCGGACAGCCTGCTCGGAAAAACGCCCGCAGACAACATTTATTAACCTTGATTAACTTCAGTTCGGATGGCTGAGGGGTCGACGTAAATACACGCGATGATGTCCACCCACGAGATGCAGAGCAAACGGTCAGCCGCCACGCTCCTTCTTTACATACCCATGCATTCAAACGCCGGGAGGAGACTGTCAGGATGTCGGATGGTGCAGTAATTCCGCCGCATCAAGAGCTACAATACGTGAAACATGTGTGCGAACAGCGGCACTCGGTCTAGTCTGTAGCCAATGTTTCTTGGTGTAGTCTCCTCCTACGGCTATTGCAAGATGACGGTGTACGCCACCAAGCAGTATTATAGTCTAGGTTCCCGTGTCGGTTGCCATTTGCCACAGCCACGCTTTGCGGATTGGGCCCCGGAATGATCCGCAGGCAGGCAGTGGGTGAAAACATAAACTACACACAGAGCAGCAGACACGAGACACGGCCTTGGGCGGCAAGAGCAGGATGCAGCCTTGCACTCCACGTGTATCCCTCGAGTTCAATGCACAAGCAACGATGCCTGTAGGGGACACATGCTGTGCCTGCTGAACTGCTATTCATGGCCTGCGGAACTGGCACCCTAGACACAGCAGTAGCGATGCTTACGTTGTTTTTCCATGGTCGACGTGAGCCAAAATGCAAACGTTTCGCACACGAGAGGGGTCTTCTTGAAGCGTACTGAGGTCTGAGGATGCCACTCGTTGGCCTCCAAGTCTTGACATTGCTTCGTAGCCGCTGCGCTCTGTGCTGCTTGTGTGGTATTGTTCGATCGTTTGGTCGGCGAGGGGGCCCCGCCGAATCACGTGCTCGAGGTCTCCATCATGAACATTGCAGGTTGCCGACGATGGGGATGGCTTCGGATTTGGATCGGACATCTCTCCCCCTATACGTACAACACACAGACAACCCGCTGCCAGTCGGATACCAAGTCATTGATTCATGAAACGACCGGATCCCACTGGCGATGATGATGAGGAGGAGGAGGAGGAGGAGGAAGAGGTTCGCACACTGGTGGTGAGGGCAATCGACGGGGAGTGGGTAATGGGAGAAGATCTCATCCTGCCCGTCACTGGGGACGAGACGATCGTAGAAATCCAAAAGGTGACAGGAGTATGTGACACACACCCTTGAGACGGGGTTTGAGGTCATCATCTTTCCAGAAGCTGATCCTATGGGTAATGTGGCGTTATCGACACCAAGACACTGTGTGTGTGTGTTTTTTTATATTATTAGCATCGACCGCGCTGTGTGTGTGTGTGCTTTGTTATTAGCATCGATCGCGCTAACCGGCTGACCAATGAAAAGACGTCAGTCTTAGTGTGTGTGTGTGTGTGTTTTCGTCCTCTTTATTATTATGGCGACAGTCCCCCCATTTTTCGTGGTGAGACGTGCACTACACTATTCAGCGTATGTATGTAGAGTACTACACTTTTCAGTGTGTTTTTTCGTACAACTTCAACCATCCAGGGTCACACAGGAGGGGGTAAGCACCAGGGCTTTTTTCTTCTTTTTATTTCTCATGCCCCACCTTCCTCCTGCGGTGCGTGCTGAATTTTACTTTTATCGCGAGGAGGGTCCAGCCGTTCCTTTCCCTCGTCAACGGTGCCAACGTCGAAGTTTGGTACCCACGAGAGCTTTTTAGCTATATTTCGCTTTCACCCGCAAATTTCGTAAATTTTTCACCCCATGGGGATTCGAACTCACGACCTCTGCATCTAGCGGGTTACGAGGATACCACTAGACCACCGGGGCGACTGGGGTTAGACTGCACCAGCAATCAATATCGATGTAACCGGTTATCTTCTTGGGGAGCGCGACCGACCGTGAATGATACACAACGAATGTCCTGAGCTTTCGAGTTCACTTCAAATGGACTTCAGAATGCCGTGAGCAGTCCTAAATAGTTTCGCCGTATGTATAACGTGGGGCGTGTCAGACCTCGGATCTGGAGTTCCCGCTGACCGTGTTTGTGAGCAACAGGTTATCAAAGGCATCAAGGGAGTACCGGTCACTCGCATGGTTGCCTTCAAGGAGGAAAGCGAGTCGCGCATATCCGACAAGCACATGACCTGGAGCTTAAGCCGGAACGGCCTGTACGCTGGTGCTGTTCTCGTCGTGAGTGTCGTGCTGTGGCAATATCACAAAAAAAAAGTGGCATGTGAAAGAGGATAGCGGGTAGGAGGTGTGAATCGTCGAAATTGCGCCCGGGCTCCGACGTACAGGAAGTTGTTCTAAGGGCAAAGAAAAAAATCCTCTATGTAGGCAATGTATCCAATGATGTGATCCTCGTTTGATCCTCGCCAATCTTCGACTCTGAACATGTACCCCCATGAAAATTACCCTTGTTGCATTCACAGTAGCATCTTAGTCGAGTTTTCTGCCATGAACGAGAGAGGCAGCCAACCCTGGTTCAATACGATGTATCACTGGTATCGCGCTATTGCTAGAGAGAAGAAAAACATATTTGTAGCCAGCGTTCGTTTCCGATAACACATCAGCATCACACGCCACACGCTGAATGACGAAACTTGCTGTGCGTGCGACACAGCTACGACCGAGCCGACCCAACCAGTGGCTTTGGCACCCTTTGGAGTGGTACGAAGAACGCCTCCTGAAAGCCGCGGAGGACGTTGCCTCTTCGAGTCCATGGGCGGAGATTGGGACCGGATGCCCCCTTTCTATCCTGGAGAAGGAGGTTCTAGTACCGCCACCGCTCAGACGGTGCGTTGTTTGCAGGAACAGCCATCCTGCTGCCCAAAGTGACATCTTTGGTCAGTAAAGAAGTAATTCAAAGCCATCAGACGACCGAAGGACCTCTCGAGGGAACAAAGCCGCCTACAAACGTGTTGAATTGTGTTTCAGGTGCATCGCGCCGTAGAGACAGCTAACCGTTGCAAACTTTCTTGCAGTTTGGGAGTGATGCCTTGGGGAATGACTTGCTAGTGCCGTTTCGCGCATACTTTTTTTTCACGTGTTCCCTTCGGTGCGCTCGCGTTCCTCGTATAGCATTGCGTGAGCCCTCCATGTTGCCACGTCGTCGTATCATGATATGCAATTATGTTGCTGCAGGGATTCGTTGAAGGGAATTCTGAGGAGGTTTCCCGACCGACTTCGACTGCAGCTGGACGTCGTGTCCCAGAAATTCGTGGCGTTTCCCAACAAGGACGAGATGCTTCTGCCGTCATCCTACTGAGGCTCTCACCTCTGTGTGGACCTTTGTTTCTGTTACACTGAACGAGGATGATGAGGTCGGTGTAATCGTGATCAAATTTGCCGCTAAACACGGTGTGACGAGGTGTATGAACCATCAGGCAGATCTCCTTCTTTCGGTGGGAGAGCAATATTGTCCATGGCTGTCGGCAGTACTGTCAGCAGGAGTACGTTCGCTCTTTGTGCACGATAGCGCAACCAGTGGCATCAGGGGCAACGGCACGCATCCAAAATTGTTTGTTTTGCCAACAACCCAGTTGTATCGCTTGATGGTACGAATTCGTGCTTGGCGCACGCAGCGAAACACAACTGTTGCAGAAAATTGCAACAATGACCAACGTGGATCACAAACAAACAGGTTGTAGAGCGGGCGATTGGTACATGGCGATCCCCCCCCCCGGAAAGCACTGAACTAAACGCAAGCACCCTGCGAAAACAACCTGCAACAATCGTCGGTGTTTTGCAACGGCCCAACGACCCTCTGCCACCCTGAACAAGCCCTACCTAGGGCGATACACGGATCTCCCGGACTGCGCCGTTGATGGGATCACCTATTGCTCACAACGCGCCCCTGGTGGATTGCTTGTTGGAAGGTCTCCATTTACGCAAGTTGGAAAACCGTTGTACATGCCGTATCGTTGGAGTTAACCCAACACTACGAGGCCATCCACTCCCACCGCGAAACGGGATCAAAACATTTGGTACAGCGGACAACCGGTGGCCAGCTCATCCGAACGTGCTCCAGTATCTTGTACGCTGGAGAACTACTACTATCAAAAAGAAAGCAGCACGTTGACGCAGGAGATCTTGTGACAACCACACCCTCGAAACCGCCCGAAACCGCAACACCCGCCCGGGCACCCGCGCCAAGCCCGCTTAAAAGGAACACCGATATCGGGACGGAATGCCGCTGGTTTCCTACGCTGACGAACAAACCGTGCTCACAACTTTCTTATCACCCGCTACGCTCTGGTTCAACAAACAATGAAACGACCAAAATTATTCGGTTGGAATAGCCATAAGGCTCTGTAGGGACCACAAGGTCATTCGTTTCGGTATGGAGATGTCTTCTGCGTCGTCCGAGATAACCTCTGCCGGTTACGCTTTCAGCGTTCGGAAGGGCCAAGCGCGTCGTCGGTGGTCGCAGCGAGATCCACGAGACGCATCGTCTCGTGGCACTTGAGCAGGTAGGGGTGGTATCTGAGCGAATTCATGACACGACGAACGGGGAAAGCGATTGAGCAGCGCAAGAACGGCGAACTACAAAAACATGGAATGACCGGTAACTACCATGGGGCGATGGATAGCCAAAATTGGAGACAGACCACGTTTTCCGCGGGGAACGGATTGCCAACATCTAACTACTTGTAAGCGACCTCTCCAGGCTGTGCTCCAGAGGTGAGAAGGGGGGAAACTGCCTAGCACTGTCACCTCCCGGTGTCGAGATGAAGCTACATATTCTTCAAGAGCACGGGGGTACGACTGCGGTCAGTCCTGCCGCAGAAGTTGTACAAGCTCTACGGCACGGGACGTTTCGTCCGCCGGCGAGTCGGCACCCGACCGACATGTTGATACAGACATAACCTGCACACGACGACGATGACGACGACGACCACGTGCTGATCGTATCCTCACCTGATGTGCGCCTGGGAGATGTTGACCTCGAGGGCCGACAGGCCGTGAAAGACTGCCTTCCCAGCGAAGCGGAGGCCGTACCGGACCATGTCCGTGGACGTCGCGCGGGGCTGGAGGTCTCTCGCGTACAGCTGGAACACCTTGTGCACCAGGATCTGTCTCCGTTTCAAGTCCGTCTGTCCGATGGAGTCGTAGATATGGATCCATACGTTCATGTCATATGAGGATGTGTCAGGGAGATTTGTCGAAAGGGAGATATAATCACGTGCCAGCGTCCACCCCGCCACCCGAAGCAAACCAGGTTTGCGATTCATGTTCGACTTTGTTGTCCCGTAAACCCAGCAGCAACCGAAGACAACAACAGTGAACGCCGGAAGGCGCCTTACGGCAGAGTTAGGAGCCCTTCAGTTTCCTCTTGGCCCCCAAGTGTTGAACACCAATGGACGCACGAAACTAAGGCCACACAAGAAATTATGAATCTTCGCGGGGTGACCAACGACGGGGACGTCGAGATCACAGCGAAATAGTGAAAATCGATACGATCGAGCAAACCACAGCCGTAGCACGTGGGCAAATAGTAGACGACCTCAGGACCGGGTGACTGTTTTCGCGACGCCAAAGACAAAACCCCCAGATGGCTAGTAGTATAAGGCAAGCATGACTTGGTTGAGTGGTCTACAAAGGATTCCTACCGTGGCCTGCCACACTTACGATCAACAAGCATCTGGCGTCGCTCGTGATATCTACGAAATGATCTACAAACCGTGGCGTGATCCACGAAGTATTTGACCAATTAACATAAATTCGACACGTGCTCACCTTAAACGTGTGGTCGACGAACGCCTGGCACGCGTGGTTTAGCTGCTCGTCGATTTTCTCTGGAGACAAGAGAACCACCGACGTGGGGTTCGACTGCGACGCGTTGTTCAAGAACAAACTGATCCGTGCGTCCGCCTGCAAAGACGATTCGCAGAAACATGGTGGGAGTGACCTCTGAACACATCCCAACGTCGGCGAAGACCCAATCCGTTTCGCCTTTGCAGCATTCTATCGCAGCGGCGTTCAAACCTTACGACACCGCCGTCGAGGAAGCGATGCATGCCGCCAAGAACGGTCGTTGTGAAAGGATTTAGCCTGTTTCATCGTCGCCTGCACAACGGTGCGATGACCATGTTGTCCTCCTCGAGGCTACTACTCGGGCGGGGGCAATGACCCTACGCAGTGCGTTTGAATATTCCCCCTACATCTCAGTGACAACCAAAGGCGAGGGAATAACCGGTACGCCCGTCCGCAAACAAAACGACCCCCCCCCTACGAAGAACAAATATATGAAGTCAAACGCTTCCGAGCAAGCAAGATCCCGACCGCCGGTAATATTTAGGGAGGCCGTTTTTTTGTGCCAGATTTTCGATCTCTCTACAGGATTATCTATACAAATGAAAATGAAAGATACCCTTGCCGACAACGCCTGGACCGGGCGGTCTGATAACAACTGAAAAGTTTGATACCTTCCCCAGTCTGTACGCGTAGCGGTACGCAAGATGCCGGCCACCGGTAATATAGTTTGGCGTTCTTGTCTTAGTCAAATTTCCGAACTCTCCACATGATCATCAGAGCAAACAAGACCCTTGCCCCGACAAGGCCCGTACCGGGCGGTCTGAAAAAACGATTCTTTACCTTTCCCAATTTGTAGGCGTAGTGGTCGTCCAGCTCGGGAGGAAGGGGCGCGAACCGCTTCGGCAAGTCCTTGAGGCTCGGCCTCGGCAGCTTTCCCCTCAGCACGCAATGCTCCAGCTCCTGCAGCGAGAACACGTCACCGCCTACTTCGTAGGAAACCTCAGCAAACCTCGATGGCCACTCCTGCCAGACGTAGGCACAGACGTTAACCCCCCGGGAAAATGAACGGGTGAGTCTTGGCGATTCAGGGATGAGAGATGGATCGTGCCTACGAGGCACACGCGCGCGCACTGTTCGATGGACATAGCGGTGGGACGATTGAGGGGTGCGGGGGGTAACCTTTGCGTTGGGTTTGACATATTGTAGGGCGCTGCCCGTTCGACGTAAAGCACACACTTCTGACGTGTCCCTCACAAACTTGACAGTTTGGCGGAGTACAATCATTCGGCAGCGCGGCTGAAGTTCACGACAGTCCGCGTCCCCCGGGGTCGGGGAGAGCGAAAATGTTCCAACCATTACACCAAGACCACAATGTCACCGCAAGAGCCCCCGCGTGCGCTGCCGTACACATGTGGGTGGTACTCAGGGGGTAAGCCACAACCAGCGCTTTTCGGGACGAGAGCATCCACGTTTCGCAGTCGCACGCGACAAGCCAAGCAAACTAACGATGACAACAGCAGCGGCGACGAGTACTGCCCAGAAGGTGTCGACAGCAAAGAGCCCCATGTGCAGTGTGCCGTGCTCCGAAAGCCAGGCTCGAAGGAGGCAGCGGGTTGCATGACGGCAGGTAAAGCGCGTGGCGCAAGAGGTTAATTGGGATTTTAGCAGCGGAACCACGCATCAAACGGACCAAAAACACAGTTGGACTATGAGCTAGCGCGAAAAATAAACGAGTGACGAGCACAAGCCTCGTAGCGCAGCGTTCAGGGCGGGGGGTTCATCGACCTTCATCCATGGGAGTTCCCTAGCTGCCGTACCTTGGCAGAAGAGGGAGCACCCAGGACAAGCAGCATGTGCCTCACGAGAAGGTGGTATAGATTGCCGAAGAAGCACAACGCCTCGTCGGAGTCCAAATCCAGCCGGCTGAGGTCAACCTTGCGAAACGCGGACGCCAGGTCGAGGAACGGTACCTGCATGGGGGCGGAAACAGAAAAATTACCAACAACAACAGTCATCGAGCCCCGGTCAGCCACTACCCTGGAAGAATTGCGGTCGAAGGAAGCTTGCACGGCCCGCAAGGCGCAAATTTGCGACGATACTTGTAGCCATTAGTCCAGCAAAATAGAGCTTCCCGAGAAACCAACGCACTAGCGGCACAAAACAATCTCGTACGATTCACACATCACATCAACTTGCTCGCGGTCAACACCGTGCTTTCGCGGTTCGCGCCAAAGTCGGCGCCTGACGTGTTGGATAGAAAGATAAAGGCTATACCACGGCGATAGAAAGCCATAAACACAACAGTACGCCGCCATCGCAGCGCCCCTCGCACCAGTCGCTGGTTCCCCGGGTCAGCGTGGACCTTGAAGGCAGATCGCAGCGCCTCCGCCGCTAGCACCCACGGCTGCTGCTGCTGCTGCTGCTGCTGCTGCTGCTCATCTATGACGACCTTCTGAAGGACGTCCTCAGAGAGATCGAAAACCGGCCTTCGTGCGTTAAGGACAAGCCTCGGAGGCATCCGCCACTGAGCGGTCTTGAGCACGTACATTTCTCGCGGGTCCTGGCTCAGCTCCAGCGCTGCCATTGCCAGGCGCATACAAAGAACAGAGCGTGCACAAATCTTAAGAGTACGCACTCGGAGGGAACCAATATTTTTTTCGAAACTTCGGTGATATGGTAAATCTTGAGCCGGTCATGACCACCGTACCCAGCGGGCAGTATCGGGAACGTACCAGAGTTTCTGAGTGTTTTTCTCAGCAAGCAATGATATTCAATCTGGTATGCAGGCAGGTGCACATGTTCCTGACCAAAGTCGGGTCGCCGCAGGGTTACACAGTTTCAGGGACCTTGCTCCGACGCATTTTGCGCCAGACGTGGGCCGTCGGGCATCTCGAGTTCAAGAGCTCATTTGGAGACATTTTCATGTCGTTTGGTTCATCCTGAGGACCTCTACGAGATGAGATTCTTTTGGAAGGTGCGCTTGATAAAGACAAAGACACGCGTGGCAAAGATACACCTCATTTGTGTGTGTGGTGTAGCCCAAACTCTTGCTGGTTAAATCGACACGCAATACAGATGTACAGAAAAAATAGCTGAAACGAAGAAACACCCAAACTACAACGACAATAAGGGGGTCTCACCGGAAGGAGAGTCTACGATGCCACCCTTGGAGAGTCGCAAAATCTCCGCGAGCCAGGTGTCCCTTTGGATCGTTCCAGCCCGGCGTTCCCGTGGTTTCATCCAGGTACATACATGGGAACATCCCACCGTCCATCCGCGGAACGTCCAGGTGCCATCCATTATCAACACCAAGTTGAGGTGGGGAAATGATCGAGGGAGGGTCTCACCAATCACAACACAGGTCGAAATCTAACATTTTTATCGAACCCCACAACACCGTCTTCTCAACGACACAACGACTTCAAAAACAAATGCCTGCTCTGGTTTCAAACGTTGCAGCAAGTAACTTTTTAGCATAGAGACATTTGTACGTGCAAGCTTGTTCGAGGGCGGTGTTGGAACGACGAAATGTTTCAACCGATCTGATGCCTTTCATTCGGAAGTGAGTGAGCCCGAACCTTACGGAGAAATGAGAATGACAGTTCTCAGTTCTCACACAATTGTAGGCGTTCAAGCGGAACAAGACAAGGGGTTCGAGGAGTATATACCAGCTCCAACATTGGCACCCCTGGCTTCCCAACCCTCCCCGCTAAGTAGGTGCCGTGCACCAAGCTTGGCAAGACCCAGAAACGGCAACCCCACAGGACAACTTGTCACAACTGTGCTTTGTGACCACGGAGGCGTCCATGTGAGTTGCGTCGGTATGGATGTGGAGGGGTACCGAGAAGAGACCGGAACGGTTTCGAGTGTGAAGGCAGCAACAACAACAACGGTTACAACAACAGCTACGACCTGTGCTCACCTCGAGGTGCGGCTGGTGAAGCAAAGGTAGTGCGCGCGCCCGACGGTCTCGAGACAGAGGCAGCGGAGCCCGGGGAGAGGGCAGCGCTCGTCGGACACCGCCGACGCCTAGGCGGGTCAAGGCGATCGACGCAAAGCACCAGACGCAGCAGAGGGAAGGCAAGGCAAGCATCATCATCATCCTCATCATCATCTTCGTCATCGTAGGCAGGCGCTCGTGTCGATATCATAGGGCCAAGAACCAAGGTGGCAGGCAGTCAGCCTTGAAGAACCAGGGTGCTAGAAACGTCTCTACAGTCTGTCGTAGGCGCGGGGCAGGCACCGCGGGAGGCAGAGTAGCATTGAAGTAGTGGTAGCATCACTACTTCCACAGCCAGCGGTAGCATCAGCAGCAGAGCACCGCTGCAAACACTACAGCAGCGAGTGCAAGCACCTGCGCCAGAACGCGCCGAAGGCGGGCGTTCAACACATTCTAAGCCATAGCTGGTGGAACGTCCCAGAACAACGCGTTGTGCGTCAACCAGGGACAACAAGAACAACCAGAGAAATCCACCCGCCTTTGCGTTGGACAAAATTTGGAGAGGAAGTCACTGCGTCAGACAACGCCAAAACCGTTTCCATCCTCTTAAGGCGACCCTCCTGAAGGCGGATATTTGACGATCGCTCGCTCGCGATTGTCCATGTATCGAGTCATTCTCCAATCCATGGTTGGATGTGTTCTCCTTGTCTGGCGCTGCTTGTCCGCTGTGCAATGATTACATGCATCGGTGGCTATTGCTTGTCGGTAGATCACCTTGTGGAGGGCCCCAAGCTGAAGCACCCACGCCGGCTTCTTGGACAGCGGCATGTAGCAGGCCACATGCGACGGGAGCAAGACCGCCCACTCCTGCAAACAAGCAAAGCAGAGCGACACGTGAACAACGACAACAACAACAACAAAAACTACAACAAAAACTACGAGATCCGTTGCACCGCAAGACAAGCGAACGCGAAATGGCCTCTTGTCGTGTAAGGAATACACACACAACGCCCTCCGAAGAGGTTAATTTCATAACGACACAGACACGGACGTCATCCAAAGCAAGGAACAGACGAACACCCTTCGGAGCGTCCCTCCGAGGTGCAAGTATCGATCTTGGCCGTGCTGCTGTTTTGGATTGGGGCCCTACTTGGCACTAGCAAGAGCTATAAGGAGCACACACCCAGCGCGATAAACCAATGGCATGTTTTCACCCAAAAACTAGAGAACAAAAAATAATTTGCTGCAATAGCGCAAAATGTCGCGAGTGCGATTCCAGCGAACACCGTGCCGTACCGTAAAATCGACGCGCTCATTGGTTCTCACGCACTAGAGTTGGGCGCCGTAGCTACGCGAAGCACGCCCATGCATAACATATATACCGCCGAAGAAATTGAACGGCACCAAAGCGGTCCAATCAAACGCAACCTACCCCAGTGTCTCCCTTTATGCTGGCTCACCTCTCGCCAATGCGACTCCCACAGACACCGCGCCACAGCGGAGCCGAGGATCGGCAGGGTGCTCGAAATCATCACCGTCACGCCGACGTCGCTCGCGCTCGAGCCGCTGCAACACAGAAAAGTCAACATGCACGAGTAAGAGCATTAAGCAGAGGAGGCGCTCGGGGTTGGCGAGCACTTCCGTGAATACACTAGAAAAACTCCCACTACAGGGACTAGTTGAACCAAGTCCACGGAATAACCTTCTTGGTTTAAGTCAGCGGTCCGCCCCTGTGTTTGCGGTGGTTGATACTCTCGGGCTAACAGATATAGAAAGTTCGAAACAGATACAGGAAGTTCGAGACGCAAAGAGGCGAGCTGAGCCGATTTCGCATGCCAGGCACATCGATCGGCACCCACCCTTGCTACACTTCCTTCCTTGCTGAGCCAAAAGCGTGTGCAAGGTATACGACAGGAACAACAACAAGCACCGGACCGACCGTCGCCACGAAAACGTATTACCTCAAGAAGTGACGGTCCAGCTCCCCTGGAAAGGTAATCGACTCGCAGAGCAGCCGGTACGGCGCAGTCACCCCCCTTCCTTGACTCCCAACGTCCGTGGAAACGCCTTCGGGTACTGGCGTGGTCGGGGCACTAGAAGAAGCAGTAGTCACACCGCTCTTGGCTCCCGAATCGGCACCGAGACCAGCCGAGGAGATGGAGTGTCTGCCGGCGGCATTGAGCGCGGTGTCCGATAAACTTGTGTGCGAAGCTCTACGTTCACTGGCACTGGCCGAAAAGGGGGTGGCGGGCGGGAGACATGTCTGTCGCGTTTTTGCTGTGTCGTGCTCGCTTCACTGGTATGGCGATTCTACCATGTTCTGCGTGCCCCCTGTTGTTGGTCTTTGCTTCCTCGTCCCGATGTGGAGACCACCGCCACTTCAGCTACTTTATTTGAGCCGTTTCCGAAAGCAAATCAGAGACAGATCCTTCGTTGACGTCTCTAGTACGTCTCTAAAATTCGAACAACGGCGAAAAGAGGTGTGGTCAAGGGGGGGAGGGGGCGCGGGAATCCGGACACCCGTGGCCTAACCCTGCTTCTTGTGGAGTATTATTGGTGCCCCCCCCCCCCCACATCCTAACTCCTGCCGACACGTGGAATCCATCTCCAGGAGGACTCGACCACAGCATCTGTTCCGAAGACCCAGCCTTGACCACAGGCACAAGCCGTGCTGTGCGCACCTGCTTCCCAGGTCGGTTGCACAAGAGCGGAGGCGGGGCGGGGACGACACGTTGCCATCCCCGTCCGAAAGTATCCCTCCTGTAGCGGTACCGCTGTCCGGGTCAGCCTCGAGAGTGTCGGCAGAGCCGGGGGAAGGGGCAGCCTTCGTGGGAGGGGATGCTGCGCTACCATCCACGCCCCTGAAGGACGCCTCCCATCGCTGCATCTCGGAGATCTCGTGGTTCAACAGCCGAACGCTCTGTCGTGCGGGGAGCGTGCACAAAGAGAAGCACGGCAGAGGATGACACGCCACCCTTGCGGTTTAGTCAGATGGTAAAAAAAAAAATCCTTCAAGACCGTTGTTGAGCTACCCTGTGTACGAGATCCGCCCTGGGGGTAGACGCAGTCGGATGTTCTGTACGTGCGCTGTAAAGGCATCGGCAAGAGAACCGTTACCCGGGGTTTATTCATCTTGGCAGGACACGTGCAAGCGCTGGCACGACAAGTCCCACACCGCCTACTGGACGGAGAACGCTACACCCAAGCCGTCTGTTTCTCTCTCGTGTCACATGGACACACACGCGTCGGCGTTTGGCATACGCGGGGGAGTCACTGCGTGTTGAAAGGTAGCCACACAAAGGGTTTATTTTCAATGACGGCACGCAAAACAGCTTGGTCTGCTGCTGCGCATCCCGATCGCCGCCTCTCGCCTCTCACCTGGTCCGCCGTGCCCATGTGCTTGATCACTCTGGGCCTCGGCCTCGGTCGCCACGTCCCCGCCGCGACGCTGCCGGCGACGTTCTCCCGGAAGGCCTGCACGGCACCAGCCAGCTCCCTGCCCGTCCTCACGCACGTCCAGGCGGGCGCAGGCGGCTGCTTCCCCCGGGAAGGGGACACGGACGCACCGTCCCCTGGTGCAGCAGCAACAGCGGTCTTGGTGGGGGATCCGTTGCTGGTGGGGTTGTCCGCGGGGGTACCCACAACCGCTTTGCCGGCCGAAGCCTCGGAAGGCTCGCTAGTCTTGTCAGCGGTGGCAGTCGTGGCGGACATCGGTGCCGTTGGTGGCGGGGTTGACGACGTCGACGACGGGGGCGGTGGGACGGTGGCGTGGACGGCGAGGAGGAAGGCCAACTGGCCTTGGCGCCTTTCACGGTGCAGGAACTCCACCCAGGCGGGCACGCTCACCCGGAGAGAGGTAACATGTTCTGACATTTAGACACCAGAAATGGGGCCGGCCAGGGGGTGGGAAGTTGATCTGAGTGGTACTTTTCAAGGGGAAAAGTGGCAAGGGCCATCGGATGCAATGTAACGGGTGGTTGAAACAGGGAGGCCAGCTTGTCTTGTGCCCCGTTCTTTCGGTATAGCGTGGAACCCCCACCCACTATTTAGCTCGCTGCGAGTCCTGCCTACTACGCTGGCATTCTCCAACTAGAAAAGGCCCGTCTGCGGCATGCCGTTGGAGAATGTCACTCGCATGGACCCATTATCGAAACTCGACTACTCCCCACTACGAAGCCTTCTTCAAAACTGATACTCTGTTCTCGGAAAGCCCTTCACGAGGCGGTTACAGAACCGCCACTTATCTTGCTGCAGACTATTCGAGCTTTGATTTATCGGTCCAGGGGACGTGAAATCTTATGTAAAGCACGGCGAATGCCCCTGTGAAGGGCGCACGAACCTGGGTAGCACCGCATCGCGCGTGCAGCCTTGGCTGAGATTCCGTCTTCGGCGAGCGAGGTCTGGGTCTTGAGCCCTCGGTCCACCTCCGTGCGGTCGACGTCGGAGTCGTACTCGCCCTCATCCACCTTCCCAAAAACATAAGGCGAAAGGACACCACCGCGTGAAAACAACAAGGTCATGCAGTGGCCAGCGATTAGTCCGGGAGCCATCTAGGACACGGCTTTGTTTCGACTGCTATATTTCCCGACACAGGTACATCTACTCGCGTCAAGATACCACCAGCGAAGAAAAAATTTGTTGCTTCTTTCTCCGACGGAAGCACGCCCAAATAGAGTCATTCTGACAACCGCAACGCCCCCCAAAACAAACGTCACCAGGTGCGCACGCGATCAGTGGACATTGCAACAAAGAACCGAGCCTTGCACCTTCAAACGTAACGGTTCCACTAAATAGCATCTCAACAAAGAGGCTAGCCTGATTGACAAGCGGCGTCCTTTTCCTTTGGTGCAGGCCATAGGTTCGTACCTCAGACTTGGCGTCTTCATCTTCTTCTTCTTCCTCGTCTTCCTCGTCCTCTCCCGAAACCAAGTCTTCGAACGGACCCCTGAAAAGCCGAGGATGGGGGGGGGGGGGGGGGGGGG